TCACTCTGGAAAACAATGTGGATTTATGAAAGAGAAGTAGCCATAGTGTTCATAACCTTTGATCTAATGTACCTTCTGGATATGTGCCACAGGGAAATCAAAAACAGAAAGATCCAAAATATAACAAAATATTGATAGAAGCTGGGTCATATTTTTTTAAACAAAATGGAGGACTAGACTTTTTTTATATACTCTATCTATATATACTATCTAGGACTTCACAGAATAGTAATTATATATTAGAGTTGAAGCAATTACAGCTGTTTCTATAGGCCAAGACACCAAGACATTTGAGAATATTCTGAAGTAACAGTAGAGAATGCTGATACCTAAGTGGCTCACTCCACCCCTTCTTCAACAGCCCCCATTCTCCCAGGTCTGGCAGGGCACACAAGTTGATCCATTCATTTGTGTTCTGGTATCCATGGCCCAAAGAATAGATATAAGAAGATACTTTCTCCCAATCCTTTGAAGTGGAGGAAGTCCACAACTATAGAACATTCATATATTTTCAGATTTTTTTAATGTATTGTCTGGTTTAGGTAATTTTTTCTCTTTCTATTTTTCTTCAAAAAATCTTTATTGTATGGGATGTCTATCTGGGAGGCAAAAGGAAATGGGGAAATTTATGCAATATTAAAACAAAAGATGTCAATAAATTTTTTTTCAAATATTAATAGAAGTAAATAACTGGAACCAAAGTTACTGATCATCAGTTGGACAATAACAAGAAATAACAGATATGAGGAATTCAGAGAACATGGGAACACTTGTAGAACTAATGTAAAATGCAAAAAGCAGAACAAAAAGTACAAAATATAAAACATAAAAAGATGTCAATGGAAAGGATTTTAAGATTCTAAGAAAGACAAACTCTTAATAGCTACCATGTCCAATTTTACTCTGGAAAATATTCTTTCCTTTTAGTTCTTTACCTGTATACCTCTCAGCATAGATGGATAACTAAAGGGGCAGAATGTTGCATACAGTGTCATTCATAGTCACTTTCAGTTACATAACTGCTTTTTCTTAAGATAGAATTTAAGAGAGGGCAGACAGACTATCACCCCCTTGTTCTCTAAATGCAAAACAGAATTTCATTAGCTTCCAAGTTGCCATAAAGGAGTTATACCACACTTTTTTTTCATTTTGAACTAGCCATCCTTCCTCCAGATCTTTTTATTTTACAAAATGCTATATAACCATACCTACCCTATCTTATAGTTCTAAAGTTGATTGTTAAAATAAAATTGTTAGATTTTTTTTCTTTTAGTTTCATGTTACTAAGTTAGGTCCCAATGAGAGAGTTCAGATTATTTTATATCCTGTTCATGTCATCCAGGGTGTTAGCAATCCCTTCCAGCTTTGTGTTATTTAAATATTTGATAAAGATCCATACCTTTATCCATGTCAATGATAAAAAAAATGTTATTTAGCCCAAGGGTAAGCACAGATACCTGAAGCCAAGTACACATTTAGTGTCAGAGAAAGAATAAGAATCAAGGTTTCCTCACTGTAAAAGCCCAACAGTCTATACAATATATCAAGCTGTCACTTAATAGATTCATAAGAAGGCATAATTCCACAATGAATAAAAAACAGTAATCAAATAGTAAGTAATTTCCCAGCCCTTCCCAAAATTCTATGCTGTGTACTAAAAAGAATAATGGCATAGGACTCAAGAAACCTGGATTCTGTTACTGGCTGTGCCACAAACTAACCATCTGAACTTGGGCAAATCCATTCCTCTATAGTTAGCATTTATATAGTGCTTGGAGTTTTGCAAAACACATTTTTCATATTATCTCATCTGATCCTAAGAACAACCCTGCAAGATAAATGCTATTATTATCCTCATTTTATAGATAAAGAAACTGAAGTTGAGAGAAGATCAATGCCTTGCCTAGGGTCATATAATGTCTGAGGCAAGATTTGAACTCCAACTATAGCACTTCATGGAATGTGATCCATAGTTTTTTTTTCCAGTTCTTAAATGAAGGGATTAGATAAGATGGTATACACTGTATTTAGCAGGCCTAAAATTCTATTCTATTAAGCAGCTTATCCCTCTCCACTTGTTGATACTACTTAAGTTTCAGAAAGATATCTGAAAGACATAAAGTAAAGTGAGGATGGTGGTAGGTGTGATGTAGTGGGATAATTATGGGATGACAATGAACTTGAGATTGATGCTGCTAATGGCATCAAAACTACACATTTCCTTGTCCCCAAACACATACAAAATCCTGAACTCTTTTTACCTTTTATAAGTTATGGCACTAAATTGTAACAGAAGTGATAAAATGCAATATTAAAGAATAATATAGTCTTCCAGCATGCAATAGCTTTATATTTTCTCGAAGTATCATCAAGATCTGTGTAAATCATTATTCAAATTATTTATATTGATTTTATATAATTCAAAAGATCCAGACATGCTAAAGTATGTTAAATATGTATATAGACCCTAACCTAAATATGTTTTCAGTGAGGTTAGTTCTTTCTCAAGTGTATGAGAAGCAACAGGTTTCAATGAGCAGAGCACTGGATTTGGAGTAAGAGTACCAGAAATTTTTTTTAAATCAACTTAGTAAATAAAAAAAAATAGGGGAGGTATAGCTGGAGGCAATCTATTTGAAAATAGAGGATTTCAATGAAATTCATGCTTAATGTGAATCAACATTATGATACAGAAACCTAGACAACACAAATTTAGCCTGCACTGTTGTTATTGCTGTTCATTCTCAGTCATGTCTGACTCTTCACAACACTGTTTGGGGTTTTCTTGGCAAAGATATTAGAGTAATTTGCCATTTCCTTCTCCAGCTCATTTTGCAGATGAGGAAACTGAGGTAAACAAGGTTAAATGGCTTGCTGAGGGTCACATAATGAATAAGTGTCTGAGGCCAGATTTGAACTCAGGAAGAAGAGTCTTACTAACTCTAAGCCTGGCACTCCATCTACTGTGTCACCTAGCTGCCCCTTAGCCTGCATTAGGAGAGATATAATGTTTAGGACTTAGGTGGTTTAAGTATAGCAGTGTTCTGTCATGGTCAGATCACAAGCATTATTGTGTTTGATTCTGGATGCCTCATTTAAAGGAAAACATTTATAAAGTAGAGAGAATACATAAGAAGTCAACCACAATAGTGAATGGTATAGAATTCATATTCAAAGGAGCATTAGTACCTGAAGACAGATGTTTAGCCAGCAGAAGAGGTGTGTATTTGAAGTATTATCAGTTGGAAGAATGTTTAAACTTGTTCTGTTAAGGTACAGGGGTCAGAGAACTGAGAGGAATGAGTATAATTTTCAAAGGGGATCATCTTAAGCTTGATATAAAGAAAAAAAGATTCTACTAATTAGGGTATAAAACCATGGATTCGATTTCATGGGGAGGTAGTGGGTTCCTTCTCAATGAAGATCATAATATTGTACATGTACATAGACATAGACATAGACTTGGAGGTGCCTTGGAGGTCATCAAAGCAAATCCTTTCATTTTAAAGGAGAGGAAAGAGATTTAGAGAGGAGTGTGGTAGAGGGGATTCTTACATAGCTTTGGGATGGCCTACATTTCCTTGGAAGCTTTTATTTCCAACTCTGAATTTCTATGATACCAGTATGAATCCCAGTTCTTAGTACATATGCAACTTCAGCCAAGTTACTTAAAGGCTCTGAGATCAGTTTCTTCAACTTTAAAGTAAGTGAGACTGGATTAGATGTTCTCAAAATCATTTCCACCTCTAAATTCCTATGACCCTATGAACCTAAAAACTGACTTGTTAACACATTACCAATTTTCTATTCATATTGTATATACACTATGGTTCTCTTTATTCTTGATGGTATACATATATAAGAATTATATTTAATTTTTGTGCAGAAAACAAAATGTGTAGGTTAGAGTACTAGAGTACTGGGCAAGTTCAGTTATAAAGGTTTACTCATCACATCCTAAAGCAATTTCCTTTTTCTAGATGAATGAATTTGATGGTACTCATGTTAGTGTATGAATTATTAAGGTGTGCAACATTCACAATTTCCAAGTGCTCTGAATTCAGTGACCTCAAGAAGGGGAAATATGGAAGAAAACTTTTAGAAACTGGAACACCTGTTTCATTAGTATCATTGTTGACAACATTACTGATTTGGATGAAAATATTGCAGTTTGTAATATGAACTTAAGCAGAAGCTATTTAAGTAGCCACTTTATAACTTTTCCCTCTTTTTGCAGCATTCCCTAGCAAACACCATTTGTAGTTTCTAAACTACCCTGTATCTTAGATGTCACCTAGTCTGACCCGCTCCTTTTATAGATCAGGGAATTGAGACCTGGAAAGGTCAATTGTTACCAATAGAAATTCCTTCGGCACAGAAGGTGCTTGATAAATGTTTGTTAATAGAATGTAAGTTCCTTGAGGATAGTGACAATTTAAATATTTTTTTTCTTGGAATTCCCACATTTAGCACCATGCCTGGTACATAGAGAAGAACTTTGATGGACAACTCAAGAATAAGAGTAGTATCTCTGATCTAGAATACCTGACCTTTGATTCCACGTTTAATCAGTGGGCTTCAATTTAAAAAAAAATCATTATGGTAGCATTCTTTTCCAAATCTAATGGTTTATTCATTGAACAAACATGAAACTCCATAATGCTCAAAATGGCATAGCAGCATAATCAAAGTCTTGACTGGAGGCAGCAGGACCCTTTTTATTATGTAGGTCAAGTAAATGCCTGCTCTTAATCCCACAAATTCCAATAGAATGGGCCAATTTCCATCCTCTGAAAGATAGAGATTTCACACTAAAAAATCTCTATAATCCAGTCAATAACACTGGACAGTTCTCTGAACTAATTAGTTTTTATAATTGTTTATTCTATGTGTTTAGTAAATGTTATCACTGAAAAATTCTAGAAAGAACAAGTTATCCAAATAAAAACATGGCAGAATGCATATTAAAAGATGGAAAACAAGAAATGTGTGCAACTTACCACTTCCTCATGGGTTGCATTTTCTACATTAATGCCATTAACCTAGATAGATGACAGATTAGGATATATGAGTGTAAAACAAATACATATGAATTAAAATACAAATACATGATACAACTGTGAGGATTGAATTGAAAACACACTGACCTGTGTTACTGCATCTCCTATAAATAACATTCCTGTTTGGTCAGCTGTGGGGTTACAAAAGCATGAAGTGTTAAGAGAGATTTTTTTTAATAGCAGCATATTTTCTTAAGGCAATTGTTTTAAATATACTGTTTATAGCAGTCAAGTGAAATGACTTTTCTTGTGAAAATGCCAGTAATATAACAAATCAGCAATCACCAACTAAAATTAAATAAACTGGTACCAATTTTAAGCAAATTAAAAGTTACTTTCCAGGAACAGATGATTTGCTTAACATGGAACATAAATGCCACTTCTTACTAATGAAGGATTTCATTAAATTATGTGGAAATTCTGATTCACATTTTTCATTTAGCTGTCACAAAAGGCAAAATAGGAATTCTAAAAGCTATTTAACATTTTCCGCTTTTTTCGCCAGATAAAAGCATAGAGGTTGCTTTAATCAAAGGGCTACATCTGGAATCTTTAAAAAACATTCCATTGTGAATTTATTCTTTGCTGCATTATTTCCACTTAACCTTTGCCACCTCACAGGCAAAGATCTTCACATACTTTAAGGTAGGAGTTCTTAACTTTGAACTTTTTTTAAAGATACTTTGACAACTACATTTCAATATCATTAGTTTTCTATGTAATTCTATGTATTTTATTTTATGCATTTAAAACCATTATTCAGAGAAGGGGCCTGTAGGTTTTGCTAGGTTGATAAAGTGGACAGTGATACAAAAAAAACGTCAAAGAACCCTTATAATTTAAAGAATACTGTATACATGTATGCAAAATGAGAAATTGGTCTTTGTTTTTTTTTTCCTTTTCATTGGTTGCTTTTGACTAACCTGCTTTTCATTTAAAAAAATGGAAGATACCTGTAGCATTATAAAGACGTATTAAAATTATCTTCATCTCTAATTGTTTGTCAATAAATTTGGTTGTATGTGCATTACAACACTTATGTGTTTAATTGCTCTGTAATTTCAAGAGCCTTCTATGTTGAATTCTCACTCATATCCAAATAGTATCTTGGAGTTAAATAATTTTAAAATATTTTGAATCCATTTTATAACATTTCAAAAATGTTAAACATTTATTAAAATGAAACTGACTCATAAATAAATCCAGCTTAAAATGTTTGCCTAATTGCCATACACCAATCAATAGATTTGAGTAGCCTCTTTCAAATAAACAGAAGCTATCATTTGGCAAATACATATGGACTTACTGTCTTTTCTTGCCAAACTTTAAAAAGCTATGCTACAAATTTTGTTGTCACTTTAAATTTTTCATGACACTATGTCTATTTTGCTATTTTTTATTTCCACAAGATGCATTGGATAATAACTTTTGTTAAAAGTTAAATGTTCCCTAAGGGAAGAAAACATAATATAATCAATCTATAAGCATGTTGTAATATAATGATAAAATGAAAAACAATAATAGTTGATTTCAATAATCACACTGACTTGAAGAAAGAAGATTTATATTTGAATGCCAGCTCTGCTACCCGTGTAACCTTGGGAAAGTTTCCTAGTTTTTCTGAGTCTCAGTTTCCCCTCCACAAAGTAGAAATAAAATGACTCCTCACAGGGTTTTTGTGAGGATCAAATAAGATAATATATTTAATATATGTAAATCTCTGTAAATCACCAATGAATGTCTCTGTGGAAGGCAGAATTAGTCTATGATATTATCATCTATATACAGCTTATTAGAGAAAAGGTGCCCCTGCCAAGTGATTTTATTGTTTTTCAGTCAAACCCTCCACAATAATTTCCACTAAGATATTTAAGCCTCCTCTCAGAGCAAGATAAACTTTCAGTGATGAAATTCTCTTACTGATCCCAGAGAGTCTCACACTTAGTCTGATGCTTAGTGATGAGTTTGCAGCAACCAATTTGGTTTCTGAGTGAAGACAACCAAAGAATTCAGACTGTAAACTCAGGTAGTCTCATCATAGGCTATCCTTTTTCATTAAAGGGACCCACAGTCAGGGATAAGCATCCTTAGTATCTTATTTAAGAGGATGAGGTCATTTATATTTCAGAATTACTGCTAGTCCTTGGAGTTCTCAGCTCTCTAAGGCTGAAAGCTACAGAGAAGTCATTGACTTACTCTGAAAGAAGGAGTTTCTTCATTAGAGTGTTTTCTATACAAGTAAAATCACAAAGTCACAGATCCAGTCCCAATCATAGAGACTACCTAATGAGGAAGAGACACTGACTGTCTCATCATTTTATTTTATTTTATTTTATTTTTTTACTTGTTTATTTATTGGTTAGGCAATGGGGTTAAGTGACTTGTCCAGGGTCACACAGCTAGTAAGTGTTAAGTATCTGAGTCCGGATTTGAACTCAAGTCCTCCTGAGTCCAGGTCCAGTGCTCTATACACTGCACCACCGTCTGCCCTCCACCCCGTCTCCTCATTTTAAAACTGCTGATTCACAGAGATCCCTTCTTCTTCTTGCTGTAGCAAGTGACCATAACATAAAAGAGAGGGTCTTCTAAAAATATTTAACAACCAGCCCTCTAAGGAAAAAAAATTACCTATATTATATGTATACATATATGTTATATATACATACATTACATATAGTTACACATTATACATAATGCAGAACAAGCTTAAAAGTGTGTCTCATACACACACAAATACATATAACTGCATTATTAATGGCTTTCTCCTCACTTTATCTATCATTTAAAATAATAAGTCAAGCCCTGATTTGTAGCATTTGTCAATTTCTGAAGTAAATGCTTGCTCTGAAATTTTAACAGTCGGACACAGCACACACTCTTCCATTTTTTTCTGAAAATCACAAGGGAGATTATTACAGAACCACTATCTCCCAGAATTCTCCTCTACCCCATGTCCCAGCAACATGAGTTAGGCTATTTTTTCCCTGAATATTGACAAAGGCATCTTCAGAACTTAATGAGGCCAGTGCTTAGGCTGTACCTTCCTAGATGGAGCATCTTGGTAGCTTCTCGTCTCATTGATTGGATTTCAGTAACCTAAGTACACAAAATGGCCCACCCATGTAGATCTGGTGTTGCTTATACTTGGAGATGTTTTGGGACCATGTATGTCACCATTCCCTGCCTTACTGATCTGGTCTACTGAAATCTCCTTTTGTTAACCATATAATGACCTATGATTTTCTCATTTCATTAGAAGAGTACTAGTCTAAGTCAGGCCTGTCCCTGACAGAAATAATTACTGGTTCCTGCACAACAGCCAGCATGGAAGGAACATTCAGTTTCCACTGAATTAATTCATTTTCTTCACCAAGAGTTAAGATATGATTTGTTCTGTGAAGTTTGGATTTAGTCAAAGGGCCGCAGTTGAGGACCTAGTGGGCCACATGTGGCCTCGAGGCCACAGGTAATTCACCACTGATATAGACACTATAAGTCCTGAAAGTTATTGTCCTATGCCCTGCAACATCCCAGCTAACTCGTATTCCAGGGAATCCCACCATCTGGAAAGAGATAACTGCCTCTGCAGTAGTACTGGTATAACTATCATGATGATTGGTGCTATTAGTTATCCCATGGCCCTCTTAAACATTCTCCTCAAAAAGAAGACAAGAACTCAGAAACTCATATTTAAACTTTTGTTGTTGAGTTGTTTCAGTTGTGTCTGACTCTTAGTGACTGAATTTGGGATTGTCTTGGCAGAAATATTGAATGATTTGCCATTTCCTTCTCCAACTCATTTTACAGAGAAGGAAATTGCAGTAAACAGGGTTAAGTGATTTGCCCATGGTCACATAGCTAGTAAGTGTCTGAGACAAGATCTGAACTCAGGAAGATGAGTCTTCCAGATTCCAAGCTTTGTTCTATCCACTGTACCACCTAACTGCCTCCTATTTAAATGTTACTGGTGAAAAAATGGAACTTTTGACCTTTCATCAAAGTTTTTATACCATAGTGTTATAAACTACATAGGAATAATGTAGTCCTCATTAAACTATGATTGTTGGAATTCATTTCATAATATCTCATATGTAGTTTTTATGGCCTTTATTATGATATACATAAGAATTATTTTTGATTCTTAGAATTTTATAACTGTAAGTACCAATTTCCTCATCTTGGGAATGTAAATTAACTGCTATTACTTTCTAGGAAAAAATATATATATCTATATTTATATCTCTGTCTGCTTGTACAAATATATATATAATTATATTAATAATTAAAGCCTTTCTCCCCTGATGAGAGTCTTTGTGTAGTGAAAGTTTATTCCCCTACCCCTATATAATCTGCAGGGCTGTGGATAGAAAGCTGTCCTCACAGCTAGAGAGACAGATTCAAGTCTGACCCCTGATCTATACTGAATGTGTGATCTGGGCAAGTCACTGAATCTCCCAGGGCTCTAGGCAACTGTTTAAGACTGCAAGTTGAAGAGAAGAGACAGTCCTGCTTTGAAAGAGAGATCTTCCTTATCTGGGTATTCACAATATAAAGGACATAACAAGTCTAATCTTTATCCAAGAAATTGCCTGATGAGGGTGTAGGAGAAAACTGATCTCTTCATTTAAAATCATTCAGATTAACAGAGATTCCTTATTTTATTTTCTACCACAACTAACTGTTAAAGCCAGAGTGAGGGAAGGAACTAGTAGCAATATCAGAGAATGCATATAGCCTCTATGTTCACTTCACTTTGCCTCTAAAGCAGGGATAGATTCATAACCTGGAGCCCACAAATTGAAAATTTATATCTGTATTTATTTATACCTATATTTATACCCACATTTATATCATCTATATCTACACATCAATGTTTCTGTATCTATGTCTATACCTATATATTATCTATATCTATCTGTCACATATGTCTCTTTATGTGGATAATTTTGTTTAATATAATTGATGTCCTTTATAATCTTATGCATGTTATTTTCTTTATTTCAAAACATTATACTGAAAGTGAGTCCATAAGCTCTACCAGACTGGCAAAGGGGTCTATGACATAAAAAAATGTTAAGAGCCCTTGCTCCTACAATGATGCCATAGCTGCACTAATATTCCCTCCCAGTCT